TGGTCACGATAATGGTTGCGGTCCCGTCGGAGGGGAGTAGAGTGTTACCATCAGTGGTTTCGATGAGGTTAGCCGCCTGTTCCTCCTCTGGACGCTTGAGAATGCCCATCCGTTGACCAATACGACGCAATTTATTCATTGCCTCCTCCTGCATGAGTTTGAAGCACATTGCGAAAAATGAGAGGCCAATGGCGACATAGAAGACGAGGGCTATCATCTTCTCCTTAGGGTTTTCTGAATCTATCTTTGTACCTAAAATAGATATGAGGTAGAGCGCTAAGCCATTCAACCAAAGGTACTTACACTTGCACATAGGAAAAAAGACACATTGAGAAGGACTAAAATCACTACGACTCAGCGCAGTTCGCGCGAATTATCGCCTCAGTCATTTGCTAATGCCCTTCAGCATAATGTAGGACACCGCTCTCTTAAAGCATTCCGCAGAAAGAAATGTTCAACAACTTGATATAGCCGTCAAGAAGGTGTGTTTTAAAATCTGGTCATTTGTATGCTAGCTAAGTGTGCTGAGGAGCTATCAATCATTACTGGGGCAAAGAGACACTCAGGTCTTCAAATCAACAAGCAGCATCATGTATGGAGTCTTCAAAATCGCTAGAAATGGGAAACCAATGGCACCCTTGCTGCACTCCTGTAGATCGAGGCCAATAATCGCTTAAACGCTCTTGTTCGTCTCGAACACTGACTTACCCAAACTTTTGATGAGATACTTTCATCAACTTAAATGGCTCATCTATTGAGACACTTAAGGGAGCCATAAAATGCAGGGTTTTTTGAGGTGTGATGGATAAGTTGCGCCCTTACGAGTAGGGAGAATTCAATGGAAGTTACGTTACTATGGGTAGTTCAGCAATGCCTGCGGGCCTAACCACAAATATCCCGGTACACTTACATCCACGGTAGCACTTGTCTTCAGTCCGTTCCATTGTAGGAAGGGACAAAGTCATATGGCAGACATACAGTAAACAGACCTTGCATTTGAAGTGACTTAATTTCGGCACCTTTTTAAATTGTTGTAAAGATGGTGTGATTCAATCTCCAAGAGGCAAATCGCGGTTGGCATGGTAAATAAAATCATACTGAATGTTATGCACAACCTTCACCGAGACATAATCACGACGTTAGACAGGTGATGGAGAGACAACGATCAACTTTGCGTGTTAGCCTCAGCCAATGCATACATTTGTGTAAGTCAATCGAGAAGCTGCCGTTAAGGTCGACGTAAATGCCAACAGGATTGAACTAAGTTTACAAAAAAGTTATTTCCGGTGAGCCATGTGTATGTGGCTAAACGCCCCTGCTGAGGTGGAGCAGTGCTGTTTCTTTGATGCTCTCGATCTACTGCGCATTGAGCCAAAGTTAAGAGCCTTGACACTTTACATTACATTATTTTTGTGTCATGCTTGAGGTTCAGTAAACGCGGTAACCCACTAATACTAGTATTTATTCCACTTTTTATGGCATTAACTGTCTCGCTGCTTATATTGACAACGAGCAGTATGTGACAAACACTTCTCCTTAATATATTAATCAAATTTCCACACCCAGAAAGGATCTTCGTCTTTGAGGAAGTATAGTAAGGCAACAGCTGAGAGGCTGAGCATGTGTTCTACTCATGTCCTCTGTCCTTTCTTTTAGGCAAAGAAGTCTCTCTAATTCACAAAGGATAGTGTGTAACTAATAATAGTAGCACCTTAACAAGTCTTTTCTTAAAGAAAATAGCCCAGTCAATACCACACCGCCACAGCTTGAAGGAACCTATTTCCTGCTTGTTTTTGCAGCGTCATCATAAAGTTAAGTGCTTTGAATGATTGGAAGTACAGCCTTTTACGGTCATTGCGCTAATACTATCTCACTGATTCCGTTTCACAAGGAACACAATCTAGGCGCTAAATTCTAAGGCTGTTCATAAAATAACGGCAATCATGGACCGTACTTCGCAGTCTACCTTCTTGCTGGCAGACAAGATATATTCACTATTAAGTTGCAAACTGTTTACCAAGGCTGGAGGAGATGTGTTAGCTTGGTAGCATTTCTAGGTTTGAACAAAACATTCAACACGTCCGGCCTCAGCAGTTCGCTTTTTAGTGCCAAAAAACGCAGGCGAAGGCTCATTGGAGCCGCCTCGACATATGTTTGGTACTTTTTTGAATTCCGTAACTTAAACTTTACTTGCAGTAAAAATAAATGCAAAGAAATTTGAAACTCAGTGACCTTTTCCCGAAATGGATAAGTATCACAACAACGCACGTAAATGTAGTAAATGAGAGTCAAATGCTTTTTTTCCAAACCACCAATGTGTTGTGCTTTCGGTGTTTCGCAAAACATCGCTTGACCAGTCCTTTAAGCCGTAATGATTGATAGTGCAAATTTATACAATTTATGCAAGACCATGGCCAACGTTGCCGGCCTCGGAATTACCTTTGGAGAGGGGCTAACAATTTATCCTGCTTCTTACATTGAAGTTAACATGGAACATGCAAATTGCCGAGAGCCTTCCTCTTGGCATTAGATCAGCATCTCCAAGCCCAGATAGGCCAGCCATCAAGGTGGGCCTAAGGCCGCAGCTTGCATGTCTGCTGTTGTCTACGACCCTCCCCAAGCTTTTACACCTCGTGCAATTTTGTTTTCCTTCTATTGCTTGCTCTTCCCTAGCACACTTACTACGTGGTTGTTTCAAAATGTCAGCCAAAAGTAAACGACGCCAAAGCAAATGTATTTCTCTAAGTCGCTATTCAATTAAAATACAAAAATAATTGAATTTTGCAATTTGATTCCACGCAATTTAATCCCTGTTTGATGTTGTGGCAAAGCCAACGTCAACTCAATATTGCTATCTGTTCATTTGAATCTGGGATGGGATGCAAGAGAGCAGTTATAGTAAACACAAAAGGAGATCCTCGGACGAAATTTGCCATCAAATTGTAAAACTTCACATGCAAGGAACCTGTTTTAATCATACCATTCATTAAACTTATCGAAAATCATTTCGCACTGGTTCACATGGCTCTCGAATGGATATCGTGGTCAATGAGGGTTAAGGAGGACCCACAAACCATTGGCATAAGATTCAGTAGGTAAAAACGCAAACTGCAGGACATGGAAACGTCTCATCACATCTTTTTAGTGCCTACAAGGTTTGTACAGCCCCTCTTCTCGTTCTGTTTTGAAAAAGGTTTTTCTATGATTTCGGCCAGGAGTTCTATAAAGTGGTTGGGCAACAATCTCCTTGGAAGATCTCTTTGACGCAACATGCATGTACAGGTCTCGAGGCTCGACAACGACCCACTGGTCTGGCCGAGGTGAAAATTTAGACAACGCCCAGATCTTCGTGAAGAGATAACGCAGACATACAGTGTAACAGAGGCGAAACTAAAATACTTCGAGGTAACGTTGATCTTCACACGAATCGGTGAATCGGCTTCCATTCCAGAGTTCAAATACTTCAAAATGTAAGTAGGTAGATAACATTTCCTATAAAAGCACCACCTCCGACAGTTAATTTTACCCAGTGGCCCGTTTTACCTTCTTTCGTGGAGAGCCAAATGCCATGTTTGCTTTGATTGACGCGCTGAAGCGGGAGATGTTTTTTGTGATAAAACACGACAACAGATGTTCTCATGCCATAAATGTAGCTACTTGACAAGAAAATGCATCCTCAACTCTAAAAATGGCATATTTCAATGCCTGGAATAAAATTGAAAATGACATGAGCCGAATAAAACCATTTTTAGTTTGCCGAAATTATATTGGAACCAACAGGCTTTCATGTAAACCGTCGGACTGAAGATCCTTTTTGAGGTTTTCTCATCTTTTGACGCTTAGTGGGGCAAGTGATTTCATGCTCCGTTCATTTAGCTCCATAGACAAGCCCAACAACCCTTGAGGACATTGTTTGAAAAAAATGTCCAACGCACGTTACACGGCGGGTAACTTGTTAACTCACAGTATGTAATAAGTAATGGCGCCACACTCACCAGGTACGATGTCTCCGAAGCCGATGGTGGACAGAGTGACAAAACAAAAGTACGACCACTTAATGTAATCTGGATTTTCCCACATGCAAAAGACCGTAGCACCGATCAGGATGTAGATGAACATCATGCAGAGAGTGAGGCTTATGGGGACGTTAACTGGCTTTTCCTCCGATGAGGGCTTGGGCACATTGTGTATAATCAGCTTTCGTTTTACGCCGTTGAGATGTGAGCCGTTGTTGTTCGCGTTGTTTGTGGCCGAAATGTTGTCATTACCAGAGGAGAGAAATTTCCTGTATGGTTTATTATAAGAATCTAGGCTTGAAGATGGCGGAATAACTAGCTTTCCGCCGGGGACAATGGTGAGCATGCTGTCGTTTTCTGTTGTCTGTCGACCACCCACTTCAGCTACTGCATTTCTTCTCAGATCGCGAAAACTTTTAGTTGACACGGAGCGTTTGAGTGGACGCGGAGCTCTTCCCTTTGATTTCCCGCAAGTTCGAACACTCTTAGGCTTCTTGCTGGCTTCGGCAGACGGGGAGCCATCACTGTGTGTTGTTTTGGTTGAGTGTATGGAAAGATTGCGATCGGGGTTTGTTGAATCATTTGAATTGGTAGAGTCTTTGCGATGGAGGCGCATGACTGCGGCATCGAGATTCGCGATAAGCGCTAGTGATTGCATGGAATTGTAGAGTCCATTTTTTGTCGTACTGCGACTACGCCGACGGCTGATCATGCGGAAGACTGGTTTGCATCCACGAGCATAAGCGAGGCGGAAGAGGGAGGCCATCATATCGCCGTTTTTGGAGAGGTAACTGAAGAAAAGTGGAATCCCAATGACGGCATAGAGCATCGTGAGGAGCTTTCCATATTGTGTTTGAGGTGTTACGTGTCCATATCCTGCAGTAGAAAGAAAAATTTTGTCTTGACCGCTTGTGCAGTTCGTCATGAGAATAAATAAGCTAATCTTGATGGTGGACTGGAGGGAACTAACTGTACCTTGGCCGTGTTTGGAGGATGAATATTGACCACTTCGACAAGGACCAACATAAAACACCATCCTACGTAACATAACGGGCATGATGATCAAAACGCAAGTCCAAAGATGGAACCTTATCTAATTTTTACCATTTTTCTTATTTTGTATCAAACTGCTGAGGCCTGCTTTCAATTCATTAGAAATATCTCCGTCTATGAGGTATGGAAACATGTAGAGCCTTTACTGATTATCAGAATTAACCAACAAAATGTGCTTAATAAAGTCAAAGAAAGGTAGTAAATGAAACTTAAGGGTCCAAAGCCGAAGCTGAAATTTGTAGAAAGCGTGGAACCATTAAAGACGGTAGTTGAAGTGGATGTTAGACTTGCGGTTAAACTCTAAACATCGCACGTAGCGCTAAAGGGGAATCATCGTTAATCCTACGTTTGCATCTAAACAAGTCGGCGAATGATAAGGCGTTGAGACAAGGAATGAAAAGAGACTGAATGTAGTTGTGAGCTGCCGTGTTGGCTTGTTAACAAATTGGCTCTTCGCGGATCGCATGCATATGTGTTTAAAGGGAAGAGAAATGCTCAAATCCGTTCCTTAACTGAAGAAATCCAAAAGTAATATTCGAATTCATTTGAGGAAGTGAGATTTAGGTCAAGCTAACAGACCGTAGTTTTGTGATCTCCGGGTCCCGTCACTAGCTTGACTTTTAGCATCTGAAAAGGTGTTAAGTTGAGAGACAAAGTATCCTGTTTTATCTTGTAATGTGTTCAATAGCGCCGCTAAAAGGTCTATGAATAGCAATACCCATTTTTTT